AGGGTTGTTTATATGGAACATGGAGACATTGTGGATTTTACATTTCCTACTTCCTTCAGCTCTGTGACCTCTCTTTGCAATATGTGATCATTTTTGGCACATTCAAGCAGCCACATCTCAAGCTAATTAGCTCTGGCATTTTACAAATGTGTTTTGATTTTGACTAATTGCAGACAGAAACTAAAATGTGCACTTCTATCTCACCGTGTTTAATAACTGGGGGTATAATTTACTGAGTGTTGTGATCATATCCCAGGAAAACAAGATGGTCATGATTGATAACTTAATCAAGTTGCAAAGAGATGATTTAAAGAGATATAATGTCAGCTTTGTAAGGATAAAGGGGAAACAAACAAGCAATTTAAGCAAAACACAAACAAATATGCTGCACAGCCAACAACCTGCAGGAATTGCTCCATGTGCCACAGTGTACCCTTGAGGATACATTTAAATGAAACCTCTGTTTCCAGTTATTTTCCTTCGTATTAATCTTCTGATTCAATCTGCCATCTGTAATTATTTCCGGGTTTCTGAACACTGACGTAAAACTAACCAACCAAAACAACATGTGATGGAACCCGCTGGAGCAGAGCCAATGTACACTCAATGAAGACAATTATGTAATGTCCTCTGCATCGTCTGTTTTCCATGTCAGTGTTCCATATGAACCTAACATTTATTCTGGTATGGAGTGGTTTTTTTAAGTTAAGTTAACAACAGTAGAAGAAATGTCATAGTGGAGTCAATCAGACAGATACTCACACAGACCTGAAAAGATTCATCAGAAAGGAAATGTATTCACACATGTTAGTGTATTGTAGTTTTGATGAGCGTTCAAAATGAATCTCAGGTTGAACCTTGACACTAAACCCTGAAGTCTTCTATTAAACGACCAAATTGAAACAAGAAAGTTCCCGTTCCTTTCTTAGCCAAACACCAAGCCTCTAGGTCACGTAAGGCAACACCAAACCTTTTTTTTTTCTATCTAGAAAATAACTGTTTTTATTTGTGTTTCCCAAGGTGGGTAATTATTATTATAGCAGCACAAACAAGTCAAGGGAAAATATCAGTCGGCAACCAATCATTTTTGTGTGTTTACACGGTTTGTTTCACATTCACACACATCACACCAAACAATGATATTTTTAACATTTTGTATTACACATGATTTGATGTATACACTCAGAAAGCCCTTTTATCAATTCAGTTTCTCAACGAACCCCTACCAAAACCATATTCCTAATTATTGAATGAATATAAAAAATGGATGACATTACAGCTCCGCAAAAAAAGTTAAAGCCAAAACATCTTGGTTTCCCTGCATGAGTGTCATCATTGTTGCTATCAGATGGTGCGGGCCGATCTGGAAAGTCCAAGTAGATGTCAAATACTCTTTTCATTGTTTCATTTTAAGTAGTTGTTATCAAGCTGTTGCATAAGTTATCTGATGCTATAAAAAGTGGATGACTGACAGCAGTGATTGACAGCTGCTCCGAGTAAAGTGCTGAGTGGGAATCACAATTTGATCATAAATGTATTTATGAAGATATTATTGTTGGTCATTGTGTCTTTTAACAGCTACGCGGCTCTAGCTTGCACACTTCGGCAGTGTTTAGCTTGTGATTAGCTATGACCTTAGAGTGGTTAAGAAGACAGGTGTGTGGGAAGATCTTGTATGCTGCCTAAAGCCCCTGATCACTACTAGCTCCAAATAAGGTCAGAAAGATGGCATCTCCTGAATGCAAGATGGATGAAGGGTTACGGGTCATCCATCCATACAGTCTATTTTCACAAACTAATTGTTATTCTAACCCGAGGATGTGAGGAAAAGAAAGCTTGCCAGATGACTTTTGTCTCAGGACACACACATTAACACACACCTACAGTTAGACAGTAATAAAGTTAGTCTTCTTCTCTCACTCTGACAGTGTGTCCAACCAGGCCTCACATCATTAGAGAAACATTACCACTTAGAAAAGAATATAATTCTTCATATGTTGTTTGTCCTGACGGATGAGACTCCGAGTTAATGCAAACCAGATCCCACAAGACAAATAAGCCTTAATGTGGTTAGGATCCTACCTCCTCACCAGCAAACACACACACACACACACCAAATGAAAATTAAAAGAGCTACATTAGCCAGAGCAGAGCACTAAGGGAGCATAAATGAATAGCATTATGAAAAGGGAATTGTCAATTGGCTGCAAAGATTATTTGGCCTGAGCTGTTTTGTTGTTCTCCTATCATAGGAGAGGCGTCGAGCAAACAGCAGTCTGAACACAGGTCAGGTGATTTTAAATAAGCAACACAAAGGGCTGTAATGAGATTTATTAGCATCCGCATTTGGATTAGTCATATCTAAACCCTGCATGAGGAGTCTTTATCATTCATTTTCTTTGTATTTATTTGTTTATATTTAGGTCTGCTGTGTCATGCATAGTATACTTCTAATGAGGTTTAAATGTTTGAGTGATGTGCTCCGGCAGCTACGCTCTGATCCCATGCTCAGTTAATCAGCCCTGCGACGCCAGTGCAGACATGGCGTAATAAGACATGGAAATGATTCAGTTGTTCGTGAGACTTGTGTTATATTTAACACTGGAAGTACATGGAGATCCGGTTTACATTGATCATTTCAGATTGGATGGTGTATACAGCCCCGTCCATGTTGTTATCAGTACATTGAGCATACTCAATGGCAAGCACAAATCCTTTGTTTTACAATGTTGCAATTCTAAGATGACAAACTCTATGTTTCATTTCACTATAAAGCATGTTCATCCTGAGTACATGCTGTTGCAGTAGACATGCTTTCATTTACTATGTATAAGGCAAGCCAATGTGGACGTGCATTAAAACCTGCATTTTCTCTAATATCCAGCAGGGGGGGGGTGATTCCAACGGTTGCAAAAATAAGTCGAATTGCATAGAAGTCTATGAGAAAATGACAGTACTTATACATGATATACATGTTCCCAATACAAATTGCTAGTTTAAATGTGTATAACAGTGTAGAAGGATGTTCAATTTGTAAATGGTGGTCCTATTTAGGGGGAAATAGAAAATGAAGTAGGGTAAGCTTTAAGTCGTGGCTAACTTTTGATTGACAGGTCACTAGTATGGTGTTTGCAGGTCCGTCCCTCCCTACAGGCCGATCATGCAGACTGCGTGGGGCCTCACCTTGCTCCACCACCCCCCCCCCCCCATGAAAGCTTGTGAAACAGAGGACCTGTCATTTCACAGTGCGTGGGGCCTCATGTTGGCCAGGGACGGCCATGGGTGCTTGCCAGGCTTGGTACTCTGTGTTTCTGTCTAACAACCTTCAACATTTGAAAAGTGTGATAATAGTTCACAAAAAAAGCCAAATTCTAGGCATTTCAAAAGTAGTCCACTATCCAATGGGTTATGTCACTGTGACTGTACGTCTACTTGTTAGATACAGTCTTTGGCACAAGGAGACAAACACAGCCTTACAATCACAATCCCATCATCATCATGCTGAGTACTCTTTCAACAAAAAAGCTGTTTCCAAATTGGGCCCTCAGCTGAGCCAGCGGAGAATTCAGCAAGACCATATGTTTAAGACTCATTTCACGTCTATCAAGGAGACAGTGGCAGCCCTTATCTGGCGCTTCATTTCCTTTGTTATGATGGGATACGGCAGGGACCATGGCGTAACGTGGGGCTATAATCACCTCCCATCTGGTCAACACCTTACTTCCTCTCTATGAGAATCTGGGTGGAGAGATAGGGAGAGAGAGGAAAAGGTGAGGGCAGTACAAAACAGGGAGGAATCAGGGAAAGCAAACGCAGTGCTCCAAAAAACTGGGAAAAACTTCAGAATGGAATCTGACAAAGGTAGTAATGCAAAGCCTGTTGAGCCCGAGCACAGACGTTGGGGAAATCAGAAAAGCTTGGAGCCTGTCTGTGTGTGTGTGTGTGTGTGTGTGCGTGCGTGCGTGCGTGCGTGCGTGTGGGCATTCATGTTTGCTGTACGCTTACTAGCACAAGCACAATTGCACCCACACAAAGCACAGAATTAACCCCAAAATAAACATGGAGCAGACAGTCTGCAATTCCCCAGAGTTCCTGTCATAAACTATAAAGTAGACCCCCACTGACATTTGTAACGTCATTACCGGTCTGTGGCCGGAAAAAACCTTAAAAATGAGTTACATTGTTCCAATTTGGTGCTATTTTATTAAACTGTCATAACCTTGTATATCCGAACGGTTAGTGGAAAGCAAAAATAGTAGAAGTAAACATATCTGTAAAAAAAGAAAGTGGTAAAAGAAAGCTCTGCAGCAGTGTGCAACGACGCATGCGCCACTGTGCAGAGCATGTTATTGTTTGTTTACTGTCATTAGTAGCTGTTGTTGCCCGGCCCTCTGTAACATCATTAGGGAAGTAGTTATTTACGGTGCATTCACTATATGCGGTGTGTATAAATGAAGGGATGGGCAAGAGACAGGGGGAGGGGAGAGAGAGAGAGAGAGTGACGGGGAGAGAGATATTGTTGATGAGCTCGGAGCCAAACATAAATCAGCACAATTTGCTTAATAAAATTAGAGAGTTAAACTACATGAAGCCAGCCGCTGGTCTAGAGAGAACAGCATTCAACACATGACTGCAGCTCGCTCACACACAACAACCTGAGCGTGTCTCACACACACCTGCTGCTGCTGCTGTGAAGCTAGTCTGACTCCACCAGCTGTAGGCTCACACCACCTCCTCTAGAGCCAGGGAGTCGGTGGTGGGCTCATGCATCCACAGACAAAGGAAGAAGGGGAGCCTCCAAAATTGGAAGGCAGTGAGGGGGCCCCCATGTCTGCTTCCGCTGAAGCCCTGGACAGCCCCTCCTCAGAGACCCTGGGGGCTCAGGCCCAGCAGGCCCGGGCCACCCTGACCCCCGACCCCCGCAGCGGCTGTGGGTTTCTCTGCCAGCCCTGCTGCCTGCTCCTCACACTCACCCTCCTCCTGCTTTCTCTCCTCGGCAGCTGGGCGGTGGTCCACCTCACCCTGGGGACCCACGGAGGATCACCTTTCAAAGTGTCCGCCAGCTACGACCAGAGGATTCCACAGGACGACACGGCCACCATCGAGCCCTACTTCACCACCAACTGCACCATGGGTACGTTTATACATGCATATCATTCTTTTTCGGAACCTATGATGCTGCTCTGATTTTTGTGTTTACCTTTACGGGGTGAGCACTAAGACTGAGAGTCATTATATTTGTATGCAATTCTTGGCGTCATGATTCCCCATTCAAAATCATTTCTGGATTGAAATGATGGCATAAAAGGATTTGTAACGTTTGTCATGATATGATAGTTATATCAGTAGAAAATACCTTCTACTTAACAGTCATGTCAATTCCTAGTAACTTTAACAATAAGTACATCTTCAACCAACAACGTAAAAGTTGCCTGTGACATAAATAGAATAGCTAGGCTTAGTCTTGCTAAATGAAATCCTCATAAAATGTCCAAATAAAAAAAAAAATTTTAAAAAATGAATCTTACACAGAATGAAACTGTCCATAATTGGCAATATCTGGGTTATAAGATGATAATTAAAATGTTAACATGAGTGATTTTCTCACCCATTCCTAGTATCATCAATATCATTTGAAAAATACATGTTAATAAAGTGTTTGAATCAGTTAATTAATAAAACCACTTTTACCTTAACCTATAAAAAATAACCTTTATTCAAAAGATGAGTCATGAAGCAGTCCAAACAAACCATTGTGTTAGGTGATAAGTCTTGAACACTTTTTTCTGTTTTCAATGTGTCTCACATGGCTGCAGAGGGGCCGAGTTCCCAAAACAGCTCACACATGTCAAACTGAAAATTACACAGCAACATTCTGTGATTTTTAACTTCATTATATCATGTTGTGCAATGAAATGCTTAGACTGCTCGACTGAAATAATATCCTTCTCTGTCATCCCCGAAAGCTCCTGAAATTGGATTAATATAACTGATTCAATTTCCTCTGAGCTTGGTTCAGAAGCACAGAAACCCTTAACATTTAACATTAACAAGGGTGCATTACTGATGAGGAAATATGATGGAATCCTGGTCTCCTCTAACAGACAGATGTTTGATAGACAAAGAGGTGTTACATGTCATACCAAGCAGGCATGTTGTTCTGTGAGTGTATACAAATATCTTTATTTATTTGATCATTCTTTTCTCCAGCAACATGCTGAAACTCTCTTCTAAATGAGTGGGTGTTGTTTGAAGATGATTTATAAGAGGCTTCTGTAAGAAAAGTTACCCAACTTGTTTACCCAACTTGTTTACCAGAACATGTAAGAGTCTGCTGAACTTAAGAAGGAACTCAAAAGTGAATGATGACCCAGGGAAGTGCCCGTCCGGTCACGCACTTCCTTTAATCTTAATATTTGCGGCGGCGCTCAAAGGAGATCCCTACATTGATATAAATAAGCTTGCATAGCATTGTTTTTACAGACCTTCGCCAAGATTCTCTACATCTAGAATGCAATAATCAGTGATCTTGTAAAATGGTGTATTATGCAGAATGGCCAGTTTCAGCATAATGTAACAACACATGGTCATATTTTGCGATGCATTAACGTCTAATGTATCCCTTTATATTGCAGCTTGTAAAGGTGGAGCTAACTGTAGCTTAGTGCATAACAATACAGATCTATTTTAAAGATTTTTAATTTAAAGAGGCCCTATTATGCTTTTTCCCTGTAGCGAAGTTCTCTATCTGTGTTTTTTTATTTTTGTTTTACTTATATGTATGCACCATGACATCAGGTCAAATCCCTCGCACCTGTCAGCCTACCTGGTGATAAACCTGTTTCTGATTCTGAAGTGTGTAATATAGGTTTTTGTGCATGTAAATGGTCTTCAGAGGCTCAAATCCCTGTGTTCCCTACAGAGGGAGTTTCTCTCCAACACATAAAAGCTTGTAAACATGTCACAGTAGAGCCACTAAATATTAAGATAAAACTGAAAATGAGCATAATGTTTAAATAAATGCATAAGAGTAAAACGTACAATATGACTGCCAAAACGTTCTAGAGTAGACGACGTATGATGTTGCATAACATAGAAACACTCAAGTAAAGCTCAAGTAACGCACAATTGTACTTAAGTACAGTAGTTTTGCACACAGACATAATTAAATCCAGATATAATATAAAATGAGAAATAAGACAGAAGAGGTCAAGCAGCCATGGGCTTAACCAACAGTCATCATCAGTTAAAAAACGACAAACAAATACATAACAGAAAAGGGGAGGAAAACTAATGAAGCCAACATAACTTCATTACAATAATTGACAGCAAGATCAGAGGCAACAAAAATGAGCAGAAAACCGGCCAATCAAAAGAACCGCAGTCCATTAAGAACAAAGAAATCCATTAAAACCAATACAGGGGAAGAGAAAGATACCTCTTTGTGAGGAAATACTTGGACATCATAAATACAATGTGGTTGTTAATTTCCTTTTAAATTGTGATGCAAAAACATAATAATGGTATTATATATGATCAACTATGTTCATGTTAAAACGTTACACCAAATGTTTGACCCATCTTGAGTAAGTGAATTAGACAGTGTTAGAAAGCGTTATTAATTTGTGTTACACAACTTTAAAAATGATCTTTAGAGGCACATATGGTTATGTGTTGCAGAGAACATGCTGAATGAATTATAAAAATAGTATTTGAACAGTAACCCCTGTGGCCCTGCAAACTCAAAATCCATACCTTTTCCCAGTATCACGTGACCTATGATGGGTTATAATATTATACATTTTAATAGTGATTTCATACATGAAGCCACCAGAAGGAGTGCTTTTCATGTTTGTAGGTGGTGACACAGTTGATATACCTGTAAATATGTTCTTCTTGTGGGAACAATTGTTATAACTGTTAACTATAATCATCCTTTACACTGGTTTGTAGATGTTGGGAGGATCACTATGATAAAAGACAGATAGAAAAATCCTCCCTCTTTTCCACTGCTTGTCCTGCTTAACACACAAGCCATTGAGCACGGAAGGAATTTGATTTTACCTTGTGTTTTCTTTTAAAACCTTACAGATCATCTTAAAAAAGGTGATCCTTCCCCAAGGCTTTTTTTTAGGGATGCTCTCAATTGAGCAAATGTAATCTCCTTTACTTTTCAGAGGTAGAGTCTCTTTGAGCTCCCCGACAATAAAATAGCTTTTATGCTCGGTCAATATTTGGCTCCGGATGAATGAGGAAAGATTTGTCTTGTTTTAATATTTCAAAACGGATTAAAACGGGATGTTTGGAGCTGAGGTCAGGTCGGCGTTACCGTTACAGAATAATTAATCATGTCATGCAGCGGAGTTTCACTGTACACCGGCAACAAATCTACTACACCCGACTCTTTATGCTATTATTTTATATGGATTTATTTGTCAAATATGTAAATGCCAGAGAGAGAAAGAGATAATGAATTACAGGAAACAGGGACAGGGGAACTTCATGGAGCTCACATACTGTACACAAACGTTCTACAATCATAACATGGATGGGAAGGAATATAGGATTATATAACACACAAAAAATACAATACATTTGCAATACAAATATTTAATTATTTATAAAAAACAATTTAAAGTGAGTTTTAAGTGTATGTTTATGATTATCAGGACAATAATGAGAATTCAACTGTGACATACAATGTTCATGCCAAGCCTCTACCCTACATATATAACTTGAAGTCCTGCGTCAACCCAGACCTTATCCTCATTTATGATTTTAAAACTCAATCATGGCTCTAAAATACTCTTAGTCACTTCCCAAAAGTGTCCACGGAACCACTATCCATGAAAAAGCCTCTGAAAGAAGTGCAAAACAAAGACAGAGATGAAAGTAACTGAAACACAGAAACAAATCAATGAGCCATTAGTGATTCTCCGGGTGCTTCTTTCTTTGTCTGTTCTGTCAAAGTAAGGACAGATCGCAGAGGGGGCTGCTGCTCATGCAAATCCAGGCCTGGCCCAACACTTGTCTAATTGTTCTCAGCTCTCCGGGTTCACTGTGTTCCTCTCGCCATGGCAGCATGAAAGCTGTGGCTAGTACACAGACATGAGAGGTTTCTCAATTCTTAAATTTCCCCTCCTCGACTCCCCTCCTCAAGACTTAGACCCGCCCACAGGAGATGCGAGCGGAGGACCGAGGAGGGGAACCGAGGAGAGAGGAGGGGAAGCAGCAGACGTTTAAATAAATGAGAACTCCTCTCCTCTGAGCGGTCATATTAAAGAGACGTCCGTTCATTATTACGTGGCAACAGCTGCATCAGCTGTCCAGTGTTTTGTCATAGCGCTGTATCTCTGTTAGATCAGCTGAACATTGTTCCCCCACATATTTACTTTGAATTAATTGAGAGTGCGGTATAATGAGATAATAACAGGCTACAGATGCCGACACACACACATACACACATATATTATTTATATATATATTAGGGCCGGGACTTTAACGCGTTAATTAAGATTAATTAATTACACAAAAATTAACGCGTTAAAAAAATTAACGCATTTTAATCGCACTTATTTTTGCACCGCGGAACGTTTCTCACTCGATGAGTTTCAGGCGTACCGATTATACTGGAGCACCAACTAACGTTCATGACTTCAGACAACAACAAACCACAGTGAACAACAGTGGGAAATGTTGTTTTAAAAAACGGACGGATGGAAGCGTCGATAAGAGCACGGTTGTGTGCAAATTATGCAAAAAGGAATTCGCATATCACCGCAGCACATCAAGCCTCAAGTATCACCTCAATGCAAAACATATAGCAGCTAGCGTGGACGTTAGCCTCTTTTATCGCGTTCACACCAAAAAGAGCCGGTACTAAAATTAGTTCATGAGAACCTTTTTACCCCCACGAAAGTCCCTGCTAGAGAGCAGAGAGCTGCTAGAGAGCAGGGACTTTCGTACGGCTCTCTTGTGAGAAAATAGCTATATTTCTGATTGGCTGGGCGGATTGCAAACCACGCCCCGTAAAACTCCCAAAAAGTGTTGTGAAGCCGCCATTTTATTATCCTCGCATTAGCATTATTAGCATTAGCCCAGCGCAGAAACGCAGAGAGACTAACTTATGGCAAC